CTTCACCACCACACCATCCGGGTCCTTCGTTTTGCCTGTCTCTCAGCTAGTTCTATCGATCTTTTTGCCATCAGCAATCATCCGTCAACGGGATTGATCTGAGGAGCCCAAATCGGGGTTGGGTTAAGGGTTGGGTGGTAAAAGGGTTAAGATTGTGATTATAACTAAGCCTCAGCTAAACTGGGTTCAATGCCGATTTAGACTCCCCAGATCAATCCCGTCGACGGGTGATTGCTGATGGCAAAAAGATCGATAGAACTAGCTGAGAGACAGGCAAAACGAAGGACCCGGATGGTGTGGTGGTGAAGTGCGCTGCTCCCCGGTAAGGACAACAGTGCGTGTTCGTTCCCCATTGCATGCACCTGCGGTCCAGAGTTTTGCAAATATCTCAGCATTTCGTACAAGTTAGACTTCAGATAGTTCATTTAATCTGTAGTATGCATTTCTTCTTTTAGTCTAATACAACGTGATGAGCCATCTTCGAACTAGGAAATGAATATAATATAAAAAAATATAATATAAAATAAAATATAAGATGCTAAAAGGTTAAAGAATAAAGCTCTCGCCTTTGATCAATCCCTGAGGGATGCGCCATGCATTCGACTTCATTAAACATCGTTTGGAGGTGATTAAATGCATGTATAGCCTTTACAATGAATGACTCGTGGTTCTTCGATGTCTTTCGCTTTTCTTTCGATCGGGATTTCGAAGAGCTCTGACTTCTTGATGAGCGCTAACTTCGAGCACTTCGAGCACTTCCCAACCCTTTTCGTGATGAGTGTTGAGATCGGTTACTGCGTTAACTTCCGGAACGTCGGTTAGATTTTCGAGGTCTGCCAGATTGGCGTGACACCGACCTTTTCGGCATCGTTTAACTAGTGCAGAGTTCGTCGATTGTACAAGTGGTGTCGCATTGCCAGCTCCAACACCACTCGACTAACGTCTTCTTGGAGCGGAACGAGCACGGTTAGCACCGCGACCCAGCCTAGGGCTTCCAAGACCCTTTAAGCTATGGCTCACTGAAGGCATTTCAATAAAAAAAAAGGCAGATAGCACAGTGGTAGCGATGTTCGTCATCACGAGCATGGTGCTAGTTCGATATTTCTCCGGGCCAACCAAGCCTCTCATTCCTCCGGGGTCGGGAAATTAGTACTGGACTTATCTAGAAAGAAACCACTCTCAGCAATCGATTTAGGAACGCTTCAGCCTGGCTATCACAGGACTCCAGGGAGAATTGCTCGACCAGCATTCTACGACATTCAAGATGAAATGAAAATCCTCAAGCAGCAACCGAAACTACACGTAAAAACTTGAAAGACGTTCGTGGACGATATACGCGAGGAAACGAATTGGATGTAAGAAGCGCTGGGAACCACACAGTAGACGCGAAGACGGATCAAACAAAATAAAAAAATCAATGACTCGCAGCGCCCTACCGATGTATCGAGCCAGTGCTTTTATCTTCCCAGACAACTATGGTACCAAAATGCCGATCCAGAAGGGATGGAAGGCTTCGCGAGCTATGGGCTCGCGGATCGATCCCATGTGTATTTCAGAGCACCTCCGATCACTGCGCCACAGATGATAAATGTGGTAGATACAAAAACAGGAATTTTTTGAGAACTTCATCAAATAAATGTTATAAAGGTCTGCGGAATGCCGCCTAGATTCAGCTGCCGCTTGAGGATTTCGGTATTTTACACGAATGTCGTTGAGTATTCGTACGGTTGTTTCTCTTTGGAATTCTGGAATAGTTGTGCTAGAGTGCTCTCATATGCTTCTTACAAGAAGCCGTAAGTCTTTGTAGACCATCGGGAGCTTCTTTGACAAGCCTTTTACCAATTTTTCGACCTAGGATGGAGAGCGCTCTTTGGTCCGTTGCGAGGTCGAACCTCAATCATACTTCAATCAAAATTAATACTAAAAAAGAACAAATTATTATTAATTCGTTATTTTTATCATTGTTGTTACTAATATTGTTCCACGGATCTCATTCATATGAGGGATCTCGAGCCAGTTAGTCACGAGGCGACGTGGACGGTCCACTGGTGGCGGATAAGAATAAATGCGGAGTAAAGGCGATATTTGCTTCTCTTAGACGCAGGTGCATCCAGCAGACAGACTCCCTGTTTCTGTTGCTCCGATATGGCACATGCTTTCTGTATTTACGAGACTTATTCATGCATGCGTACGTGGGTGTGCTCTCGTTCATGTGGATTGCATTCAGTGAATCAACTTCAATCAAGTGACAGTAAAAGTTAGGAGCCTCCAACAAATAAGCTCCGTGTTCATTCTAGGAAAGTGGCAAGCGAAAAGGGAGTGTACCCGCCTCCACATTCACAGCTCGGCAAACTCAATGTGGGTACCAAAAAGCTAAACCCAGAGAAAGAAACAGACATCATTCTCATGGCCCGAAAAGCCCCCCATTCGGCAGCATAGCGTAGGACGAATACGGAGAGGCCGCTAAAATTCCAGAGCCATTCTAAGCTGCGTAAATCACAAAGGACCAAGGTAACATCTGTGCTTACGATGCACGCACACTTGCATCTGAGCCCTCGTTAGAAGACCATGCAAGCAAGGAAGATAAGATACGACGTCATTGGCCTGGCCGAGACGAGACGATGCCACCCATTCAACGCCATCTATGACACCAGAGAAGAACTGTTCCTCGGAACACGCAACAGTAGAGGAGCTAGAGGCGACGGCGTTCTCGTCAACACGAGTTTGTCTACGAGCATCGATTCATTCGAACAGCTTACAACCCGAGTCGGATGTTTACGATTAAAAAGGTGTGGATCAATACCGACATTGACAGTCTTCGTCGTTTACGCGCTGACATCAAACAATGAAGAAGACGAAGTCTAAGTGTTCTTTATGGTTCTTGAGAAGTTCTACAGAGAAGATCACACATTCTTCAACGCCATTATTGGAGAATTTAATGCCAAGATTGGGCCAAGAAAAACGTCTGAAGAACGTCACATTGGGACCCACGGAATAGAATGGAACGAGTAGGGTGAGCAGGTCTCTGCGCTTATTATGACGACCAAGACCATCCATGGTAATTCGCGATTCCAGAAACCCCACTCTAAACGCCGGACGTGGAAGTCTCCGAATGGAGAGTAACAAAACGAAGTAGACCACATCATAGTAAATCGAAGGTTTTGCCCTACCGATGTCGCTGTTGCCTCAGGATTCTACACGAGGTCAGACCATCGCCTCCTTCAAACAAGATTCCATTCCTCGAGAAAAGGATAAATGCGGCTGAATTCAAGGAAGAAAGTCATAAAACCACTATAAACTGAGACATTCAATTCATTAGTCGGCGTTGGGAAGATTCCGTTGTCGCTAACATAGACGAGGAGTACGATCGCCTCATTCAACATCCTCACGTTAGCGCTATGAAAGCTGAGAGTTCGAAAGTCACCAAGAGACGTTTGTCTCCAGAAACACTCGAGATGATACGCCAGCGTAGAATCGCACGAGCTGCAGGCAACCGCGAACTAACGCCCGAACTTGCAAAACAATGCAGAGGCGATAAAAGAAGATTTTGAAAAGAGATGAGCAGCAGTAATGGTCGAAGATGCTGGTAAAAGCATTCGCAAAGCCCAGTGAACCTTCTCCAATTACAAGACCAAGATGATTGCACTCCGACGACCAGACGGAACAGTTACAGCGTCCAGAAAGGCAGAGGAGAAAATCATTCACGAATACTACTCAGAGCTGTTCAATAGCCACGTCACCCGTCCCTCATACGAAATAAAGGAGGATGGATTTTTCGCTCCATGGGTTCTCGCTTCCGAAATCCAACATGCTATTTCGTCAATGAGAAATCGAACAGCACCAGGTCCGGAAAGGATAGGATCCGAACACCTGAAGGACCTTCCGCCAGTCCTTGTAAACACATCGGCTCGGCTTTTCACACGTCACCTGCCTAAATGCATGGTCCCTACTCAGTGGAAGACCAGCAAGACCGGAGCAAGCAGGGTTTCGAAAAGGATTTAGTAGGATGGACTACAAACGCGAGACCTAAAAAGTCCATTCTGTCTCATTTTCATCGATTTAAAGAAGGCTTTTGGCCTAGTCATGGAAGTCAGGGAAATCCTACTCAATATATAAAGATTCCCCGTGAAGTGTGCAAAAATTTCACAACCAAGATATCACCATTCAACGACGATATTAACACCGACTTCAAAAGAAAGGTTGGCACGGTGATACCATTACGACAAAATTATTTACCGCCACCGTCGAGAACGCCATGCGAACATTGGAATAAGGTAATATGGAAGTGAAAATCGATGGTCGGCAGTTACATCATCTTCGCTTTGCTGATGACATCGTCCTTATAACACCAAACATTAGCCAAGCAGAACGTATGCTTGCCTCCTTTGATAGAGCCTGTGGAAAGATTGGTCTTCGACTAAAGCTCATAAAAACGATGTTTATGAGAAACGGATTGGTTTCGTATGCCCCATTCACGCTCAACGGAACGAATATCTCCGAATGCTCCAGTTATATCTATCTAAGTCGGGAAATCAATATGATGAACGACTTAGTTCCAGTGCTAAGCAGAAGGAAAGGAGCGGCCTGGGGAGCTTTCAAGAGCATCGAGGGTGTAGTGAAGAGGACAAAGAACACCCGACTCCGTACCCACCTTTTCGGCTCAACGGTGCTTCCTGCCCTAATATATGAGTCAGAAACCTGGTCACTGCGTAAGCAGGATGAAAGATCACTCAGCGCTATCGAACACGCAGTAGAAAGGACGATGCTAGGAGTATTCCGTTTCACCCAAGTAAGAGAAGGGATCTGAAGGTCCGACGTCTGTCAACGATCAAAAGTCAAAGATGCCGTTCTGTAACCCCGAACAGGCGAAGATGAGGTGGGTCGAACAGGTAATGCTTATGAGCGACAACCGATGGACAAAAGCCGTTAGTGGCCGGATTCCTCTGGATGTTAAACGCACTGCAGGAAAACCATTGACCGGATGGCCAGAGACTTTCACGAAAAGACTAGAAGAAAGATATGATGCTCAACGAATTCCTATAGCGAGCAGAACCAATTAGGCTACTCTCGAACGCGACGGGGAAAAATGGATGAATTACTCGCGCAGGCTTTAGTCACTCGACGATCAGCGGGACCACAGATGATACAGGTGGTGCTATGGCTATCAGAAATGCTGCTACTAATTGCTAATTATTATTATTGGTATTTTTTTATATGTCCTGTCACCACAACTACTATGCGGATCCTAGCACTTCTTGCATTCGATTCGTTTTCCTCACATTCTTCGTCGTCTTAGAACATTTCTCGCGTTGTATCGGTCTCACATTGAGGATTTCGTCTCTTAATATCTCTGAATGCTAGTCGCGGCCGGGTTTTGACGCATACATTAGAGCAGAAAGCACTGTTGAGCCAAAAAGGTGGGCACGGAGTCGGGTGTTCTTTGCCCTCTTCACTACACCCTCGATGCTCTTGAAAGCTCCCCAGGCCGCTCCTTTCCTTCTGCTTAACTCTGGTGCTAAGTCCTCCGACGAGCTAATTTCCCGACCTACATAGACATAATTGGAGCATTCGTAGATATTCGTTCCCTTGAGCGAGAATGGGCATATGAAACCAACCCGTTACTCATGAACATCGTTTCTGTGAGATTTAGTCGAAGACCAATCTTTCCACAGGATTTATCAAAGTCGTCAAGCATACGTTCCGCGTGGCTAATGTTTAGTGTTATAAGGACGATGTCATCAGCAAAGATCATGCAACTGACGATCATCGATTTTCACTCCCATATTATCCCATTCCAATGTTAGCATGACGTTCTGGAGGGTGGCTGTAAATAATTTTGGCGAGATGGTATTGCCTTACCTAACTCCTCTTTTGACGTCAATGTTAATATCGTTGTAGAATGGTGATATCTTGGTTGTGAAATTTTTGTACAGCTCACGAAGAATCTTTATGTACTGAGTAGGGACTCCTTGACGATCAAGGGTTTCGATGACTGCTTCTGTCTCAGTTGAATCAAACGGCTCTGAGGAAGGCGAAGTCGCCGAAACGTCAGCCATCGATCAATAACATCAAAAACTACGACAACGAAAACGAAGATCTGTACCAACCTCGCGTCAGCTTAAGAAGATCAGTTTAGAAGATCACATAAATGAAAATAAATATACTTATCAACCTCGTAGGCACGTGTGGCGCAGTAGTTGGAGGCGCCACTGGGACACACACGTGGAATCGATCCCCGCGCTCGTGGGCCACCAAGGCTTCCATCCCTCCGGGGTCCGTAAATTGATACCAGACTTGTCTGAGAGGATAGCAGCACTGGTTCGATACATCGGTAGGTCACCGCGAGTCATTGTAAAGGCCACATACGCATTCAGTCACCTCCAGCGATACTGAATGAAGTCGAATGCATGGCGCATCCCTCAGCGATTGATCAACACCGAGAGCTTTGTCCTTTTTTATTTTATTATTATTACTATGATTGTTATTATCATTATTACCATTATTGGATCACCCGACATCAAATGCATGATACTGTGCGGGCACCTCTTGCATGCAATCTAATTCTTCGCATTCGTCATCGACGAAAGTCTTCGAGCTTCCTTTGCGTATGGCTTCGGATTTGCTGATCGACTCCATTCTTGCTGGAGTCATAGGGTATCTTTGGTGGCGCGTTCACACATCTATTAGAAGGAATGAGCTTATACCAGACAAGTCTGGTGCTTACTACTCTACCCATTGAGGATTAGAGGATTGCTGGGCCAGTGTGGAGTCGAAACAGGGCCGGGGTAGGTTAGACCATCCGCGTAAAGAACGGAATCACTGCCACTGCTCTACCGGATTCCTAACAAACTATTGAAGTTGTAAGCTGAATGCGACTAGATTATTGAGTCGACAATTAAATCCACCAACAAAGAAATAGTCGAATACTGAGGAATAACTTAGCACATTGCAACAAAAGAGATGAATCTTTTTAGGTCTTAATCTTACAGAAAATATAACTTAATAGAAAACAAGAAGACGACATTACGCAGAAACGAAAGCAACAATGAGCGAGGTAACAGAAAACAACGAAGGGACACAAAAAAGATTGGCCGTTAAAATTCAATGCAAGCGGGAATAATTCCCGTTTCAAAAGAATTTTAAATAAGCCGTGTGTTGACTGATCGATGTTAGTACGAAAGCCACGTAGACAGTCACGGAAACAGGAAAAGGTCTGAGACCAATAACTTCTATGGATCAATGATGCTGAGATGTTTGCAAAACTCTGCACCTAGGCGTCTGCGGTGGGTAACGAACGCGCTACTACACCTTTCCGGGAGCTAAAGCGCTCACCACCACACCATGCGGGTCCTTCGTTTCGCCTGTCTCTCAGCTACTTCTATCGATCAGCGCCATCAGCAATCACCCATCAACGAGATTGATATAAGGAGCCCAAATCGACAACGAACCCAGTTAAGCTGAGGTTGTAGTTGTATTCACAATTTCAAGTTATTATTTAACTAACTTATTCAAATATCTCAGCATTATTGAAGTTATATTTCGCAATGTACCCTGCCATTAAAAAGAAAATTCTATGGATCAGTTACTTGGCATAGGACGGTAACCCCTAAGCTCTGATGATTAGCATGAAAACTGATCGTTTTCCTTATTGAATTCAAGAGCCTTCTCTTATTAAAGAGATGCCGCCTCTTGGGAAAAAAAACCGGGAAAAACGGAGTTCCTACGTGTTTATGCAGAAATAAGGAAAATCATATAAAGAAGAAGGCTGGAATTATGAAAGTTCCTATCATATTTACAGCTCACGAACATTGGCAGTAGTTTCGAACCATTTCTTTCTAAAATCTATCAATGAATTGACACGAAATGCACTGGTTTCTGAAGAAATGCGTTTATGAATAATCGGACGGGAAATAACAACTGAAAGGGTTGTGTCGACGGCATGATTTCCATCATAGAAATAAGAAATGGCTCCGGAAATTTCATAGACTTTCTCCTTTTAAGGTATCTACTGTAACCATTTTCAAAAAAAAAAACTGGGATTTACAGCATGTGGTTATTCCCACGTCTTTTCGTGAAAGACCATGAAAATTCGCCTTATGATGTAATATAACCTATTTCTATTTTGGAAGAAACATTCTGTTGGTGTGTCTCCTGTTAGTGCATTAAGGATTGAGCCTTCGGTTAGAAACGACTATGCGAATTAAACTCCAAGTGCTGAGTAAAGTTATTGTTTGAAATGAGGTCATTGCAAAAAATATCTTACACTTGTAGTATGCTTAAAAGTTCCCAGCCCATCTTTCAAAACAGACGTGGTTGTTAGTTCGGCCCTCGTCTGGACTAACGAAACGTCCAGCCTTGTTGGTGGTCAGCAGATTGTTGCCGAGACTCTATACGAAGCTTAAGACGTTAACTCGATCCATTGGTGACGACATTGCTGCAAGTCATTTTATGGGTCAGATATTCATTCAGTTACCTTTACAGGGCTTAATGGACTTCAATGCACGGAGAACCCCTCAGGGGTCATTGTCTTACCCTTTACTATTTACCTTAAACGTTGAATGATGGCGGCATCAAAACACCGCCATGTGAAGTCAGTTGCCGCCCAACAGTAGAAATCTTCTATCAAAGGTTTTCGTTGATAGTCAAGCAAACTGCATATTATCAAATCTTATTGTGGTTGCATATCTCATAATACCTTGGAATGTAAAAAAATTAAAGGCTGTGAAAGGTTATACAACCTGCATATTTGTTCCATACCGTCATCTGCCGTCGTTATTTGGTACAGAAATCTCGTCTTCACCACTCAGTGTACTAAAGCACTTTCCTAGACTTATGGCACGTTTGAAAACTTTAGAATTCTTTTAAATTATCAACTGGCATTTTATGTTAACGGTTTTTCATTGAACATACAAAACAGCACCTGCTATTCATATTTATTGCGCATCGTTTGGAGGTGATTGAATGCATATCTAGCCTTTACAATGACTCGCGGTGGCCTAGCGATGTGTCGAGCCAGTGCTGTTAACCTACCAGACAAGTCTGGTACCAATTTGCCGAGCCTGGCGGAATGAAGGCTTGGTGGGCGGGCCATGGGTGTGGGGACCGAATCCACGTGTGTGTTGCAGGGCGCCTCCGACCACTGCGCGACGCGCGCCACACTCGTCAGTTATTGCTCGCTAATAAATTTTATAATACGAACCTCGTGTTTGCTCACTGAAGGAGAACAGTGAACTGTTTCTTGGTAATTACTAGGAAAAATACGAAAGAATAATCCTCCCGCTTGTCCTGCTTATTGTTTGGTCTATCTAATCCCCTTTTTTTCAAATGAATTATGTTACAATTAACTCAATATTTATGCAAGACATGTAGTATCGAGACAAAATTTGACAAATGCTTTACATTTCACTGACATAAAAAATATTTGAATTGAGAGAAGTGGTTCTACCATTTCGATGATGAATTCCAATACCTGTTCAGAATCTGACTCTTCAAGTACATCATGCAGCACTAATAGGACCAATTATCATGAAGTAGAGGCTGTTGTCTGCACCGTACAGATGAAAAGATTGTCCTACAGTAGGAAGTTAACAAAACAATCATCGTAGTGAGCAATCAACAACAACTACAGCTATCCGAATAGATTGTCTTCTATCATCATAATATTCTCATCGAATACTTCTTCTGCTGACTCCTCTATCCTCTCGGTTATGTGACGATCATCACTGAGGTTTCCATCGAAACGTTCTTGGATCTGTAAAGGCAAAAGAATGAAGCATAAAGCGTTCAGCGTTGATCGATCTTATACTGATGCACCATTCAGTGAACTCCATCGAGTATCCTTTTAAAGTATGAATGTATGTTTGGCCTGTCCAAAAATTTACATGGTCTCGAAATGTACCAAGTCAGTGTTTTTATTTTCCCATACAAATCTTGTAGCAATTTGCTGAGCCCAGATGGATGGAGCTTGATTAGCCTAATACGATGAATCGAACTAACAACTATGTTCGCACAGGTGCACACTTGTACCAACTGTGTTACATGCGTCTCCAATAAACATATCTACATCAACTCTACAGTAGCGATTTTTCGACGACCCCACTAGAAAATGTAAAATTCTGGTTCTTCCTGATCGGTGCTCAGAGTGTCTAATCTTTTTTCTTCCGAGTCTAAAAGCGTTGAATTGATGTTCCGCTTATTGAACATATTCCTATAATCTCACGGCAATGCAAAAGCCTAGATATGGACTAGTTAGACAGTGAATGACTATCCGAAATGAGCCAACATATTAGTCGTACATCCACGTGTAGCCCATTGCTTAGAGGTGCCCTGCAATGCACCCTCGATTGGGCCTCTGATTCGATCACACGCCTCCAGCTTAGCAAGCATTTCATCCTTCCGAGGTGGAAAAATTGGCACCTGACTTGTCTGCCACGATAGAAACATGACTTCAGACATAGCGTGGAAACCGCAGGTCATTGTATAAGCCAGATATGGAGTACTGATTGGTGTCAAATGCGTGGCACATCCTCAATGTATTGATCGAAGGCGTAAGCTTTCAAGCCTTTGTTAGTCGTGTAATTCACGGTTTGAGTGCAGCAGTGTAACCATAGCACACTGTGCACATTGGAAAATAGATAAACTCGCATTGATTCACGTATTGAAATGTCAATATGAATGGATACTGCCCAAGTGACGCAATAGCCTCTTTTTATTTTGGGAATGTAAGCAGACACCCATCAACCCAACGTATGTTTGTCAACAATCCGTCGTTGACTCACCGCTCTACAAGAAGTTTTAAAGCGTTGAGCTGCGATGTACAGTTGGCGTCTATCCTCCGGCTAGGTCATACCGCCCGAGAAACAGTTCGAGAATTCCATTCGGGGGCCCAGCTAGAAGTGAAGAGACGGTGGAAATCACTGGCATCTTAGTAAAAACGTGGTCGCAAATTGACAAACATCCTTCTAATTGACAACGTTCAACTTGACCTATAGTGATGACACGATTAGATTACTCTGGCAGTCCTATTCAGTTAGTGCAAGGGACAAAGAGAGACAACTGCGAACATCTATAACGTCTGTCAATGAGAAAATTGATGAGAAGCGATCAATTCTGGGATTGCAATGAACGTCATTAGCACAGAATCGAAACAGCACATTCGCTGCACACTATAGACACCACTGCCTTCTCATCATCTGCATATCAGAACAGTCTCACGTCGATCACCACGTCTTCTACAAGGTTCTAAGTCATATAAAATTGCATATGTTCGGTTATTCAAGTACTTGTTACTTGAACATGATACTCGAATGGTTCGTTGTCCTCACTGGTTGTGTGGGGTTTAGCATAATCTTCTTTTTCGGAGATTTGCTGGTTAAGCTACTGTGATTTCCTGGGATCCTGAGGTCAGCCTGGGCAAAGTTTGCCCTAGGTCTTCAGCACCACAGGCAGTCGCAGCGCTTGTGGATCAGAGGGAGATTTGCCAACAACATGCGACTTTGATACTAGGACGGTGGTGGATCTTGGCATTGGTATCCATTTAAGTAAGCATCACAAATTTCCTAGCATATGAAGAATTAGCAAACCACTAAGTTAATTCATTGGAAATAAGTAGAAGGTGAACAAAGACTTGTCATTAATGAAGCGGTGACTTCTTTATGGAGTGGTTGTTTTTCTTTACCTAATCTCTACTATAGTTAATTCGTTAGCATTAGAAAGACTGGTTATAGCTCCGGTATGCGGATAGAGCAGAGTTAGTGTTACCCTTTGATACGTCCATGGTGCTTCGATCGCGCTTTAGGCTCACGAAACCGCCTAGAATGGTTTGCGACCAGATGGATTCCTCAAATTCACAAGAAATGATGCATGTCTCTAGTGGGAAGGCTATTTACAGATTCCAAGGATGCCGACTCGACCAGCACTCAACTAAATCCTTAAGAAAGACCAAAATCGCAGAGCAACAATCAAAATAGGACTCCGATCCGAAGCCCTTCGTGAGCGATGAAACCTATCGAATGCAAAAAATGTTGGGAATTGCGTGCCATACATACACCATACATAATGCCAGGTAGTCTAAAAAAGTGCTGTTTAAATTTCTTGTCTTAAAAGTTAAACATTATAGACTTTAAGCTGTGCAGAAGTCAATAATTTCTGAAACACCTAACGACATAACAACAGCGATATTTCCTCAAGTAGGTTTTAAGCTGATGAATAGAGAGCGCTCAGATGCTTTTTAAAAACCACGATTTACTCAGAGAAGCTCGAAAAGGGCATATACTGTGGTGTCGTCGACTCTAGCAGCTTGTATACTGTTAGATGACATCGAAGGACTCTCTACGTTGGGTATGTGTTTGGTTGCTATGAACGTAGTACGTTGTTGGACAAGAAATATCTCGATATTTCTAAAGTATTATTAGAGATGAGATAAGGTAACTGGATGAGGATGAAGTTTTAGAACTCTGCACTTAATCCTATCAATACACTCACTCATCTACAATACAGGGATAACCATCTCTATCCATTAGGAACCGTAAATGTTAATAAGTAGAATGAAGTTGTTAATTTAGAAAACGATAGCTTCCCTTTCTTAAAGACAGTTGGTATGACAGCACGGTTACAGCTGGTTTCTCAAGAGAAACAGGAATGGTCACTGAAAGTTCCGAACTGCTATTTTTTTTGTCCATCGGATCGAACCCCCATCATTAGATTTCAAAGACTGATATCCTTAAAATCTATGAAGAAAACGGATGAAATTCTTTTTCCTATAGCAGATGAGCGACGACAATAAAAATCATGGAAACACCATTTAATTATCTCCAAATCTAATTGATTTAATTATCACCAGTCCACGGCAAAAAAATTCCTCACCTTTAGTTATAATAAATTTCTTCTACAAAGCTTAACAATAAAATAAGTTCCAAGTAATAAAAATTACTTCAAAACTAAAGTAAATAATAGTTGAGTTATCTAAGTCGACCAAATCTACCAAAAAGTTTTTGTTTTCGTCATTGAAGGAAAACTGATTCCTTTTTAAAAAAGATTTTAAATCAGAAGTGTGAAGAGTGAGATATTAACCTTGTACCATAAGGCAAAGGAGGCGTGTAGCATTGTGGTCTGAGGCGCCCTGCAACATAACACAGGATCGATCCCCGCGCCCATAGCCTACCAAGCCTTCCATCTCTCCAGTGTCGGCAAGTTTGGACCAGAGTTGTCTGGGAGGATAGCAGCACTGCCTCGATAAATCGGCAGGCCACCGAGGGTCATTGTAAAGGCATGATATGCATTAATCCACCTCCAAATGATGTTTAGTGAAGTCGAATGCATGGCACATTCTTAGGGGATTCATCAACGCCGCGAGCTTTATCCTTTTACCATAGGGCATAGATCTCAGATCTAGTCTTATTGTCAGCGTTTATTTGAAAATACCTTCGTTTAAACAAAACCGGGCCAATGAGTTTCACCTTTTCTGTAGTGGTCTGCTTTATGGAATTTGAATCCTCGACTCGTTGGTGTTCATGTGGTTTCAAATCCCATTCTGTTTTCGTATTGTTGTTGGATTTGGAAGATGACGACGTGAAGGTTTTTTCCTGAACAAGCAATTTTACACAAAGAGGGAAAGAGGGAAAAGGAAAAAAGAGGATGGGAGGAAGAGAACTACAATGGCGGGAGAGAAAGTGAAAGAATTAGAGAGTAAAGGGAGAGAGAGAAAAAAGTGAAGGGAAAGAATTACAGCAATAGAATGTGAGAGAATATGATAGAAAGGTGAGATTGAGAGAGAGAAAGGCGACAGGAGAAACGAAGAGCGACAGAGAGAGAGAACATCAAAAATACAACACCTACTCACTACATTATCAACGAGTAGTTAGACTAAGTATATCATTTATAACTTCATGTCTTATTGATTGATCGACTGGTTAGACATTACAGAATCCTGTAGACGTACTGGTTGTAGACCTTTGCTAAATTCCTTGATCCTGGTTGAAGCAGTTGTTGACTCGTGAGAAATCACAGGACTAAGAACGTTACGTATCGGGTTCCATTTGCAGAACAGCAGTTCAGGATTGTGTTTGCAGAATGACCATATCGAGTAGCCGTCGTCATCGATTTGCTTCGGACGAAACATCTTCAAACAAACCGCATTTTAAAATAAGGTGTCATCATCGTTCTCTTAAGACAGTATTCAAACGTTCCACAGGGCGTGAGTATCTTTTTTCGTTTGTTTTCCTAATATCCAACTTATTGCACTAGTGCGCTGAACATATTCAAAGAATGATGCTGAAGTATTTGCAAAATAAATTGATGATGGCACAATTAGGGTAGAAAGTTGGTTGAGAGAATGGCAGAACGAGAACCTCAGTGGTGGAGTGGATAACACGTGAGCTACCGGAAAGGGCAATCGAGGGTTCAAATCTGGCCTAGAGACCAAATTTTGCAAATATCCCAGCATCATTGTGATCGTATTTCACATAATACCCTGATGTGAAAAAATAACGGGCAACAGATGAAAATTTAAACATTGTGATATTCAAAGAAACTAGGGAATTGTGTACGACTTTGATTTCGCTCGTTATTTTGTCGTTAATGAACTTCAACAGTGTTTTGAAATTGTTATTAGGTCGATGTTATGCAGAATTTTCATGCTTTTTCATAACTAAGCAGTAAATTAAACGGGTAGATAACGCTGACACAGCCAGTCGCTAAGTCACTGAAAATAGGGCATATTCATACAAAAACTGCGGAGACGTACGATAAAATATAGCCCTACTCAAATAGATAAATGAATAAATAAATAAATAAATAAATATGTTTTAAAACAGAAATTACCATCCTCGCACAGCAACCTAGAACCTCACCGCGAAAAATCTCAGGGTATTCCGGATGAATTCCAAGTACATAAAAATGAACCCTAGCAAGGAATGTTTGGTTATCACGCGTGACCTTGCCAATACTTTAGAGTGATTTTTTTAACGTGAGAGAGGCACATAACCAATCCATGTAAAATCTGTTTGGTCGTCTTTCTGTTGCTGCTTGGTTATTGCGGCACGTGTGGTGCAGTAGTTGGAGGCGTTCTGCGACACACCCATGGGATCGATCCCAGCGCCGGTAGCTCACCAAGCCTTCCATTCCTCCAGGGTCGGCAAATTGGTCCCAGACTTGTCCAGGAAGATAGAAGGACTGGCTCGATAGATCGGCAGGCAACAAGGGGTCATTGTAAAGTCCAGATATGCATTCAATCACTTTCAAACGACGCTTAATGAAGTCGAAAGCATGGCGCATCCCTCAGGAATTGATCAACACCGAGAGCTTTATTTTTTTTATCTTTTCTTTTTGGTTGTTGTTCTTCATTGGTGATAGGAATAGCTGGAAGACTTATCAAGAACGGTGAGTGTCTAAGCAAACTGTCTTCAACATCCCTGGAGGAATGGAAGGCTATATTTCGCAACATACCCTGCCATTAAAAAGAAAAGGCAGTAAATAAAAGGGTTCAGATTGTGATTATAACTAAACCTCAGCTTAACTCGGTTCAATGCCGATTTGTGTTCCCCAGGACAATCCCGTTGACGGCTGATTGCTGATGGCAAAAGATCGACAGAACTAGCTGAGAGACAGGTAAAACGAAGGACCCGGATGGTGCGGTGGTGAAGTGCGCTACTCCCCGGTCAGGACAATAGCGCGGGTTCGTTCCCCACCGCATACACCTGCGGTCCGGAGTCTTGCAAATATTTCAGCATTATATACGAGTTATATGTCTTCAACATCATTGAAATTTAGGTTGCCGGTTATTCTTTTGGGGTCACAGAAAGATTTAATTGCGAACAACTTGACTTTTCCAAGTTCTGAATAGGAAGGTCTCTACCAAGACAGCTATTTTACATAAATCGTATGATAACAACTTTGTGTCTGCTCAAAAGAAAACTGTAAACCCTCCTCATAGATTTGTTTTCCAGACGTTTCTGTAATGTCATTTGTTTGTTCGGCTGGAATTTATGTACGTACCGGTTTAGCACTTCTTGACAGCTAGAGCGTTTGAAATATCGTCTATACTGGTCGGCGCGATCGGCGCGTGTCGCGCAATGGTCGGAGGCGCACTGCGATGCACATCTAGGATCGATCCCCAAGCTTCAGGCTCACCAAGTCTTCCATTCCACCGCGATTGGAAAATTGATACCAGATTTGTCTGGGAGGATAGCAGCACTGACTCGACAAATCAGTAGGCCATCGCAAATCATTTAATGTCCACATGTGCACTTAATCACCTTCAAAGATGGTTAGCAAAGTCGAATGCATGGTGCGTCCCTTAGGGATTGATCAATCCCGGGAGCTTTATCCTTCATCCTTTACTGGTTTGCGCGCCCTCTACAAGACTATCATTTCGACGCCGACGTTTAAGCAAAGATAACATTCGTCGATTGTTAGAACGTGATCCCGATAGGTTTCTTTTGCTCAAGTAAGAAAAACTAGTTCAGTTCGCTTTTAATGCATAGGACGAAAAAGCGATGCTTATTTGATTAATACTGAACATTTAAATAATAAAGCTCGGTTTTTTAACAAGCAGTTTTGGTGACACGAAGTTTTTGTTTTCAATTCTCGCCTGAAGAATGATAAAATAAACTGCACTATGGGAATGAGAAGGTGAAAAGTCTTGCTCCGCATCAACACTTCGACTAGAAATATTATTACATCAGCGCTAATGTAGTAATAAGTAGCCAATAAAGTAGATAGCCTGTAGGAATTTCGATAAAGACGAACTTCATCAAACCCGCAAATGTCGACACGTCTAGTCTTTTCGCATAACTTCCTTCTCAACGTCTTCGGTATTAACGATCGACGATCGACAAGAGAACGAGCGCCGATCTGTCATCAAAGCACCTCTTTACGTAAACATACATGACTGTTCCAGTTTAAAGGAAAAATTCCACTATACGGTATTTTTGGCAGTGGAGCGTGTAATCTTAATGATTTTCCCAGAAGACGACTGCTCAGTAGCTCAAAAACCATTGAAAGAATTCGCAACTTATGTGGAATACCCGTTTCACGTGGATTATTAGTTAGCCTATTAATTTCACTTTATAGTTTAATCTCTTCTAATATTGCCGCTCGATTACCTCCCCTTACATTACTATTTCAGAAAGGCTGCTCTACTCGTAAAAGGAATGGTTCAGTAAACCTGAGTGGTTCCAAGAAGTTTATGCACGCTCTACTAAAGTGAGAAGTGATTTTTCTGGATGTTGAGGATCAAAAAAAAACTGTGGACACTGCCAAAAAGTCACCGTAGGATTTTTTTAACTAAGTTAACTAAGGCCATTTTTTCAAAATAGTGAAAAAAAACTTACAGTTGTTAACCATGCGATGAAGTATGTCCTTAGAAGGCGCATATTATTAAGTAGAATGCTAAACTGCTATTTTACCTATTTAACCACCTTTAAAAATGTGAGATGCGTAAGCAAAAGACGTCCAATCTATGAAGACATCAATTTATAGAAAGACACGACACACACGAAGATGGTAACAAAAGGACGATCGATCTTTTTTGTTGGTGAAAATGAGTATTTCTGAACTAAAACTGATTCAGATAAGGTGACAGAGATGCCTGTGACATTGTGAATGAGAGGTTCCAAAGCACAGAACTATGTCAACAGCTTTAGCATGCTGTATGCCCATCTTGTGAGAAAAAATGTTAAACACAGAAAAAGTTAGGATTTCAGAAGGATATAAGCTTATATTCAATGTGAAAAATGGTTTATAACCTGGTCCGTCGTGATGGACATCATTGTCGCAAAGAGTTATCCAGAAATATTCAACTTAGAAGGGATCCTGTTCCCCGGATGATAATAACGTAATGTTCTTCATACAAACATGTTATTCAGGCATCAACTAATTAATAGTTCAAGCACTGTGACATACGACTGTATAACATACACTAAATTTTGCGGTGACACTGGTATTAGTAAGGTTATTGGCATGGAAGTGAAGATAAAGCTCTCGGTACTGATTAATCTTTGAGGGGTGTGCCACGCATTCGCCACCATTCGTAGCATCGTAGAAGTGACTGAATGCATATCTGTCTGGTCTACACGATAATTTGCGCAAGGCTGTCGATTTATCACTTCATTGTTGCAATCCTCCCAAACAAGTCTGATACTAATTCTCCGACTCCGGAGGGATGGAAGAATTTGTATGCCTTGGGCATAGGATTGAACAAGCAATCAATCCAGTGTGTACTGTTAGGTTTCTCTAACCATTGCACTACACGCGCGCTTAATGGAGACATAGTAACATAACCAATACTACTACTAATTGTACTACCTCATAAGCATATTAATGATAAGTGGTAATAATAACGGTTATTATTATCAATTGTTTTATTACTATGGAAAGATTTATGCAAGTGGGAAGGAATAAAAGGAATTCATTGCTAGGCGAACGAATATCATCTACTAGACGATTACAATTTCTCATGAGAAAAAACATTACGAATAGAGAAGACGAGAAAAGGAAATGTGAAAACAGAGGCTGTAAAACGGAATATATCCTGAAGATCTCTGATAACTCCTCGTGGTTCGTGATTCAGCTGAGTGACCGACCGATTACGCGCGGTTTTGGAACCATACTCCATCTAAGAATTAGGAGAAAAAACTTTAAAGAAACGATAACTATAAGTTGTGATTAAAGGTTTTTAAAGCGTTTTTGTACACTTGCATAAAGCATGGACTGGATGAGTGATAAATTGGCCAAGTCTTTTAAAGAACGATTCCATTGAGAACCATCTAGATGGCTCTAGGAGGCTGAACGACTGCTCAAAAACATGGAATATAATTCAAAGTCTGGATAAATAGGATTCAGCAAGTCTAGCATTTCGATACAAATATACTCGGTCAATCATTTGGCTCTGGACACAGAATTGTGCTACACGAACCACTTGTAGTAAGTAACATAGTGATTCAGACCGATGGTATAGAACCAGTTGGATGGAATAGCTACGATAGCAAAAATAGACATGAAAGACACCTGGGATGAAGAAGATGTTCTACAACCAGTTGTAGTTTAGAGCTTGTATTAGGCAAACATCAATGATGCCTATTGGACGAAGAGTACATCGGTCGTCGATGTCCGGACCGCATT